AGTAAACTTAAAAATGAAATAATAAGTCTGTCCTTTTAAAAAGCAAATTGCGATGCTGGAATATTCATGAGCTGTGACTTCATGGGAAATGGCAGTCACCGGGAGATTATCATTTGGTTAAGTCAGCAGCAGAGGAACTTAGGGAAATGTGCTTGTCAGTCTGAGGAGATGGTGATTAATACTTCCTGTTTGCAGCCCCTTAACGGGTGCATTTTAATGTAATAATTAATTAACCTTGGGGATCACTCATATTTCACGGCTTCTGGTGCTGTGGCTCCTAGGGGGTGGGGGCCGCGTCTTCCTGCCCAGTTCCTGTTCACTCTGGGTGTACCCATCCTGGACACCCAACCCTTGGGACTAGCCTCTCCTCCAAAGCTGAGCACAAACTTCACTGGTGGGAAGGGCTTGCATGTGGAGGATGGGGTGGTATAGATAGGATAGGGTGACAGGGACAACAACCCTGTACTAGTAAATGCTTGTGACTGCTCCGTTAGTGTAGCAAGTTAATGAGGGTCCCCAAGCTCACAATCACCTGGACCTTCAGGATGTGGCTTTGCAGAGAGGTCTTTGCAGATGTACTGGTTTAAGACTCAGATGAACTCCTGGAGTTCAGCTGATCCTAAGTCCAACAACCGGTGTTTTTATAAGAGGAGAGGACATAGGGAGGCAGGAGGAGGAGACCAGTGATGCAGCCAAGGTCAAGGGTATCCAGGACTGAGGGAGCCACTGGAAGCTGGGAGGGGCCTGAGCTGGTCCAGCTGGCCTGGGAGCTTGATGTTGACTGCCAACTGACCTCAGCACAGGTGAGAAGACAATGCTCTTTTGAGCCGCAGACTCTCTCCTGGAATTCAGCCATTCCAGGACATCCTGACAGTGGTTAACCAGGGTGGGCAGTGCAGGGGTCAGCTGAGGGGAGCCTTGCAGCCAGAAGGGGTGCTCTGCGGGAGCTGACTCGTGGGAGCTGGTGCTGGCTTTTGAAGCGAGCAGGACAAGAGAGCAGAAGCCAGTTGTGTCCTCTCTCTAGGCCCGAGAGTCTCCCAGTGTGAGGGGGTGGACCAGAGATATGCTTCTCAAACTGGGGTCCTCCAAAAGGACATAGAAACTGAAAAGCCTACCCCAACCACTTGCTGCCTGAAGAACTCAGTCACCTTATGTAGACCATTCCTAGTACCCCCCTCTGGGAGGGTTTCTCCTCAGTGCTCCATGCAACCCCCTCCTGCAGGTTGACGCTGTCCCCAGCCAGGTTCCAGCTCTGGGCCCTGCAGAGTATTAGTGGATTAGAAGTCGCCATGCCAGTCCCCTGGGTCCCAGGTCACACACATTTACATACCTGTATTCAGGCATACCACACACCCATGCTGACATGCATTCCACGCACATGCATATGCCCACACGAATGCGCTCACACACGTGTGCACACACACAGGTACACATATATGTGTTCCCAATGGGGCACACACTCCTACTTTTACCACTCAGCCAATTCACAAATACCGGCTCTGGGCTGGACAGCAGCCCTCCTGCACCTTCTAGTGGCCTGCTGGAGGAACTGCAGCATATTCTTGAAAGGTTTGCAACCCAGGCACTCTCTCCTGCATTCTTGGCTGGCAAGGGCATCTGGGCCAGTCTTGATGTCCCTTTACAGGGAGACTCCCAACCCCCCAGCTTTCCCAGCCTAGGCAAAGTCAACCCAGTATGTGCACTGATACCACACAGGGCTCAGTGGTTTGGGCCACATCTGCCTAAGAATCAGGGCAGGTAGGGGATGGGGAGTTCATGGGATGGATTGCCAGGTCCTTGGTAGCCCCATCAAGGGCCACCCATCTCCTTCAAAGAACTCTCGGTGCTTGGACAGGAGCCAGGGCTGTGTTGGGGGGGCAGCTTACTCGGGTCTTGGGCTAGGGCTGGTTATTTCCTGATCACAGCCCATTCTGTCTCCCAGTTAGCCTGTCACATTCAGACCAACTGAGGTGGGGAGCTGGCAGGCCCTGGGAGCACCCCACCCTCTGGTTTGTCCTTGCCCCTTGTCTGAAAAGCATAGGGGCAGGAGGGTATCCCTGAGAGTGTGGCCAGTGCTGCAAGCCACAGGCTGCCCAGCTCCTACTCACCAAGCTTCGTGGGCTGAGGGCTAGGGTAGGGGTCTAGTGTGAAAGTGGTAGTGCACTTGCCTGGCAGGCCCCCTGTAGTGTGAACATGGACCTTATCCTGGTCCTTCTAGCCGAGGGAAGGTCTGAGAGTGCCCCCAGGAATCCTTCTGTGGATATTTTATTTTATTTTATTTTATTTTATTTTTTGGTCTTTTTGAGACACAGTCTTCCTGTAGCCAGTCATAGCTCACTACTCACTATGTAGACCCGGCTGGCTTTGATCTCACAGAGATCTGCCTGTCTCACCATGCCCTGCCCTCTGTGGATTCTTTTTCTCCCCGAAGTGGCCAAAGCTGATTCCAATTGCTTTAACTAAGAGCCCCCTAAGCCTCCTCTGGCCCACTACAGGAACAGAGGCTCCCTGTCCACCAGCCAGGGAGCTTCATGGAACCAACCCCCTGAAGCATCTCCAGACCTAAATAGCAGGTGCTCAATAGATACATACAGGGTCCATGGGCCATGGGGGGCACATCAGAATAGTCTCTGAAACAGAGGTGGAGATGAGTCTTGGGTGCAGAATGGCACTGGATGGGAGAGAAGCTGAGTCTCCACGCAGGTCCCACAAGGACCAAGCCAGATGAGGAGCAGGAGGAGCACTGGGTGGGTGGGTGGGTGCTCCCTTGAATAATCCATGAGATGGCAGAGTTGGACCGTCCACATAGCTCAGCCACACCACAAGGGCTGTGACCTCCAGAGGGGCTTCTACACAAAGACTGACCTTGAGGGCTGGGCAGCCCATCCTTCCTCAGTAGGCTCTGAATGGCATCTCTGTGTGTACAGGGGTGCCAGGCCCTAGTGGAAAAGGGGCCCTGCTGTCTCCCACTGAGAAGGGACAGAGCTTAGACATTGCAAGGTCCACTGGGCAACACAATCCTCCATGCTCACTATCCTTTGTCTTGGGGATCCTGAAGAATCAGGTCTAACACAGGGAAGGGACTTGGCCCATGTCCCTCTGGGCACACACAGCATCCCCAGAGGTAGGGTGCTCATGCTGACTTTGGGCTCCTTGCAAATGCTTTGCCAATATTCTCAGTGTGGAAACTGGTAGCCAGGGAAGGTAGCCAGGTCAAGCTTTCAGGAGGAGGCACCAAAAGACCAGGTCTGACAGACAAGAAACCACTTCAGACTCAGTTTGCTACTGACACTGCTGAACAGAATGGCTACTCAAAGCTCTGACTCTCTGGCTCTCAACCCACATGCCTATAGGATTACATTAGAATACTGAAGACCACGGTCTCACAGGAGTGGAGGATGTAGTGTGGCTGCCGAGCTCTTCCAGAATATCACCTGTGTCTATCCCTGAGGGATGGTAGAAAGTGTCTGTACTGGGCTCCATGGCACCCTTGAGGCCAGCCATGTCTCGCTGGAGTGTACATGGCACCTCTGTTTGGGAAAGGTCTTTGGAGATGTAATGAAGGACTTGGAGATAAGATTATTTTAGACTGAGGGCCTAAATCCAATAACAAGCATCCATATAGGAGAGGAGACACCAGGAAGACAATGGGGAAGAGTGGAGGGGCAGGTGGAGGTGATGTAAAGGCTGAATAAAGGTGGCCCTCAGCTCTGGAACACCTGAGATGAGGGCTAAGGGATTAAGAAAGGCACTAGGCGTCTTGGGAGGAAACCAGCCTGTGCAGTCAGCACAGGAGGGTGATTTTCTATTGCTTTCAACTGCCCGCCAACTTTGTGGTACTCTGTTACAGGAAAAGCAGACGTCCCAAGCCTCCTCACCTGCCTGTGACCTGTGACTGCCTCCCTGGGGGACAGGAAGGCCAGCTGGAGGGGCCTCCTCGCATCTCCCACTGATCAGCTCTGGGATCATCTGCCAAGACTCAGATTTATGACAGGAGCCTTCACCAGCATGGCCTTGTAAACAGGAGGCCCCAAGGCAGTGCACCCATACACTGTGCTGAACACTGCTGAAAGTAGACCCCATGGAACCTGCTAGGCCCATCTCAGGTCAGCAGAAAATATTAACCCCCTGCTCACAACTGGGTCTCATGTATTCTAGGCCAGCCCAGGGCTCTCTACGTAGCCAAGGATGACTTTTTTTTCCTGTTTTTTGAGAAAGGGCCTCCCGTTGTCTCCTGTAGCCACAGCTGGTCTGGAACTTGCTATGTAGACCAGGCTGGCCTTGACCTTACAAAGTGCCTCGGCCTCCCAAGTGCTGGGATTAAAGGTATGCGCCACCACGCCCCGCAAAAATGACCTTTGTGATCTTTCTAGTTCCATTTCCTAAGTGTTTGGATTATAATGGACTCGCGCCACCCTGCCATATTTATGTGGTGCTGAGGATTAAATTCACGGCTGCGTACACGCTAGGCTATCACTTACTAACTGAAGCTCATCCCCAGTTCCCTAATCGAGACATTTCACATTCTCTCTTCTTCTAACTCTGAGGTCCGTGTGTATTTGACTCTAGAGTTCTTTTCAATTCCAACGCGCCAGCGCGCCGAGGTACCAAAGTGGCTAGTGATGCTGGAGGAAAGAAACGGATGAAGAACTACAATTCCCGGCATGCACGTGAACCGCCGGACGCGCTTCCGGCAAGGCGACGCGGAGCCCGCCAGAGAACCACAACTCCCGACGTGCCTCGGCGCACCCCGTTTCATATTTCCGGCGCGGGGGACTGAGCGGAACGCCTGACCGAGAACCACATCTCCCGGCATGCCCACGGGCACCCGTTACGCACTTCCTGCGCGGCTGCGACTGCGCGCCCCCTGCGGCTCCGGCAAGGAGACCGCTCAGGCCGCTGCGGGTGACGGCCTGCC